CACACCATTTTGGATGCAACCTTCTTTATGTTCCAGACTAGTCTGTGTGCATGTTGAAACTCAAAAATCACAGGCTTCAATGAGTACAGCATATTCATGCAAATATAACTTTTGCCCTAATCAACAGGAAAATACTAACTTTTTCCAGAGATGGTTCACATGTAAACTGGGCTCTAATCAAGGACTAAAGGCAGTATGGGGTGGGTAACCTGTGGCTTTATGCCTCTGAGCTACCAAGAGAAGCAGTGAAGCAGTAACAGCTTATAGTATGTAAAGGTAAACCAGCCTCTTTATGACGTGGTGTAGTGATAATAGAGTGTCAACCCTGGTGAGTTACAAACCATGGCTCCTTTGGTTCTGCAATGCCGGCTTCTTTGGTACAAGTTCATGTTGCAGGATGTGCTGGCTCAGTTGGAGGTTTATGAACAGCCAAAGGAGGCCTAAGAGTTGCTTGTTGTGGCATTACCTTGGGTTTCTTCACATTTTTTAAATATTGAAATTCCAGACTTTTCCAGACTCAAATTTCCATATTTTAGATATTCATATAACCCAAAAATGCAAAACTAACATTTTTGCAACTTTTTTATGAGATTGCAAATATTACAGATTGGGTCTCTAACAACAAACTCTTTGCATTTCGTTTTTTAATTTCCAGACAATACATTAAAATGTAAATTTACCTATCTTTAGTCGTCAGAGGTGAATTTGTACCATCAAATTGAAACAAAGGTTCAAAGTAAACACTGGTACATTTCAGAGCATTACTCTACTTTTTTAGAGACCTGTACCTGTGGGTCTAGAAAAGAAGCCCTTATGTTGCTTGTCAACAGATGAAGAGAACACACTGCTGCTGACTACAGGAAGCAGCTCCTGGAAAACTACAAATAAACAAAAAGGTCACTCAGATGTTTTCTGTGACCAACTGAGAACACGGACATTTGGGGCCCTAACCATCATTGCTATGGCATTCAGACTAAAGTGTTTGGGGAAAAAAAGAACACAACTGTAGACAAATGTGTCAAAGTTAACAAAATTCAATTCAAAAATACTTTATTAATCCCAGAGGGAAATTAAATGTTGTCGTAGCTCATCATACTGGTTCCATTCAAGCGTTATAGATTCTGATGGCTGTGGGCAGGAAGGATCTTCTGCAGCGGATCCGAAAAGTCTGGCCACATATACCGTCCACCCTGTTTCAGCTTGCTGTCAGATCAGGTGGGCCTCTTGATCCTTCTGGACAGCAGGACTACCCGAATGCCGGGCAGAATTCCTCCCTGAGCAATGGTCACTCCTCCCAGCAGTGTGCCGAGCTCCTCGTTGCCACGGACAGACAGCTGAAGGTGCTGGGGGACGATCCCGGTCCTCCCATTGTCATGAGCTGAGTTTTCAACCAGCTCCAGGATTTCGGCGGTCAGGTACTCAAGCACCGCAGCCAGGTTGATGGGAAATGGTCCACGGCGCCTCCTTTTCAACTCATTTGGGATTTGGGGCTGTAGTTGAGGGATTTTGAGCTTTTGAGATGTTAATCAGCTGCTCCTGGTTGTTAAAAACACCTTGTTGTCATGGTTACGCATCATAACAAATGCCCAAAAGTAAAAAGAAAAAAAACCAGAGGATGTACTTTTCACTTGGGACTTCCATTTCCTCAGAATGCACGTCTGCTTTTTTGTTCAGAGATGACTGGAACAAACTGGAGCTGGATACTCAACTCGTAACCCCCGAAAAATTCAGCAAACAATCCCAGTGTGTCACCGAGAGAGATCACAGAAGGGGGAGTTATATAATGAGCAGGGTTCTGTTCGCATGGGGGGGGGGACGACACACACACACACACTTCCTGCCGTCAGTCTGAATTTGTAGCAAGGCGAGGTCCAACTCATACAGTGACTAACACACACATTACTGAGGACAGCATGCACACACACAAGCATTTTTCCTGTGAAGGTATTCCACTGCAGACTGGTCAAAATATAAAGTGTTCATGTGTGATTTGGAAAACCCAGATGGAGAGCTGCAACTGGAAACGTTCAAATGGAAAATATATGCTGTACAGAGACACAACACTTCTGAACGAACAGACACACAATCCTCCCATTGTCTAGGACCCTTACATTTGTGCACTCAATTAGCACCCTTTCACCATACCAGCACCACGAACAGGAATACAACCCCCCCTCTTGTTCTCAGTCACTCCATCCACAAGCTGCCATAGCAACCCTCACAGCAAGGCTCGTCACGTCAACAAGACTCCAGACACATCTGACAGTCTGCGTTTCTGATGATTCCTCTCCCCCAGCCCCCTCCTCCCCTCCCATGGTCCACGTGGAAGTAAACACACACTGCAGCATCTGCTCCCCCAAGGTGACACCTGTGCAGCTGAAGGAATAAGACACGTCACCACATCTGATGGCTGGAAGTTCAGAGTTTATTATGAGCCCTTCCACAACAGGAAAAAAAGAAATTACACAAATATATTTGTTTTTCTTCCCACCAGTTTGGGAAAATGTGCCATTCAAAGCCTGAATGAAGTAAAATTGTTAGTCTCACACAAGACAACCTGAAGTAGTTTTTGTGTCTTAAATGGCAGTTTTATCAAGGTACACAGTAAATACTCTGGAAGTACGAGTCAAGAAAGTGTTCGTGACACAGGTTCTGTTTCTGCACAATCACAAGTTTTCTAAATGTCCTCAGAGTTCATCTAAACACTTGTCATATTCAAGGGACAGTTTGGCCATTTTGAAGAAAAGTTATGTGGAAGAATTATGAGCAAACATCTTACCTGTTGCAGATAGCTCTTTGAACAGCATCAGTTTGGAGAAACAGAGTTGAAGTCTGGCATGACTGCAGAGCTAATGGCTAGTGCAAACATAAAGACCAAAGGAAATTGCTTTCATCTTAAAACAATTTAAATTTCTAAGATTTCATGAGGTTCATGCAAACGTTATTTTAAAAACCTTTCCAACACAACAATTTCTTAATACATGACTATTTCCATGGAAGTAATCTTTGTGGTGCAGCCTAGGGACTGGTCTTGGGAAGGGCAGTGATTTTCAAATTTTTTAGATTAAAAAAGCTGATTCAAAAAGTTAATGTGTTGTCACGTCTTTATTTATTGTTTACACTGGAACCTGGTAGTGGCACTCCAAGTTGTTTCCTAATGTTACTTTTCCACTGAGGGTGCTTCCTCCCCAAACAGACCTAATGCCTACCCCATTCTAAAAAAAATCTACTCAGAGCCTCTGTTTCAGTTATTATATTTTATTTTGAAAGGGTTCTACGGTGGAAACTATGATCCTGGGTGAGCTCAGCTCAGCTTTACTGCCAGCATATCCCTGGCCACACTGATCCATTGAACAGGTGAAAAAGAAAGAACATAAAGATACTCAGCTAACAGAGTTAGCAGCAGGACATGTTTCTGTACCCAAAGCCCGTTTCAGTACAGGGCTTGCTCTCACTGGGGGGGGGGGGGGGGGGGGGTGTCAAATATTGAAAGAAAAATGAACAACTGCATACAAATTAGAAGAGTTTTTTTTACCTAAAATACTTACCGGTATCCACTTTTTGATTTAATCAGGAATTTGATTATATTGAAATGAAAGGTAAAAGTTTAACTAATTCACATGAACTGCTGAGGAACTTTGACTTGTTTGACAGACAATGATCTGCTTTGGAAGTTGGTCTACTTGGACAAGTAATCATTAGCTTGTCCAGATGGTCCATGTGGACCCACGTCCTAAGTGGAGCTTAAAACAACTTTGATTCTCCAAGCTGAGGTTATTCAAAGAGTGATCAACAGCTGGTACAATATTAATTGCTCATAATTTTTTGACCAACCATCACTTTAGAATGGCCAAAATATCCCTTTAACATGACTGTTCCTCATTGAAAACAGATTAATTATTATAATGACAAACATAACAAAAAACAAACAAAAAAAAAAAAAACTGGGAATGTCACAGTAAAAAAAAATCCTATTTAATCAATATTTCTATCCCCGATTCCTTTCCTAGACAAAATAAAAAAATACTGTAACATGTTTAAAATAAAAAAATAATCCTTTGCAAAATGTGTCTGAGTGCATCTCTATAGCTACTATTAATTTAATACTTTTTGCAGTTCATTACAAATAGATATGTATCAAAATTACAAGTAATTTCTCATGGTAAATGACAGTAATGATGTAAACTACATTTAAATCTCAACATTAAAGAGTTTTAAATACAGTGAAATCAGTCATAGTCATCAATCAGTCTAACATTTAAACATGAGTGCAGGTTTTACATCTTTTTGTAATAATATGCTCAAATTTTATGATGATGAAAGGAAGTTGCTCCAAAATTTCCAAAGGAATCAAGTATTCAACCAGAGGTCCACATTTTATGAAAATATAAAAATGAAAATATTAAATAACCATAAAGAAGCTCCCACCAAAAATAATAATAATTTGTGTTTGAACTTACAAAAAGCTAAAAGCTTTGAAAATATCAATCCTGAGGTGTAATGAACAGATGTCTCAATGTTTTTTTTAATCAAATCAAGGATGATGTGTGAATCTCATTGAAACAGTTGTAGTCTGTCCCCAGATTAACACTGGCTTTCAGTGCTGTTGCTATGGTGAGGGACATGACTCAAAAAGGGTGTAACGCCAGTAATTAGCACCCCCATAAGGCATGAAATAAAACATAATTTTTCCTAGCAAACAACCAAAAAAAAAGAAAAGAAAATGCAGCAGCAACTTTAGATTTGAAATAAACAAATTTCAGCTCAGACCAGATGGCACCGCTGTTCATGTTCGCCAGTGGCCGACAACATTTCAGACACCTTGTTGGTGTAAAATTCAGAAAATTGCAATCATGTCCCAGAGAAACACTAACTATTGATAGTTGGCAACGCTTTTTGTACCAAGTCTTAAAAGAAAGCGGTCGCGCATTATTCCAGTTAAGTTCATCTAAACCCGCAGCTGATGGTTACTAGATCTGGTTTGAAACAAGATCTACGTTTACGTGTGCGCTCTCACTTCTCTCTTCCATTTGTTCAGGAACCTCGGTATGTACACGACAGGCTTCAGGGTTTGTACCAGTTCATGGAGCGTCGCAGAGCTCTCTCCCACCTCTGGAGGACAGGGATGTATTCCTGGTCGGGGCTGATGGCCCCCTCCTTCTCAGTACCTTTGGGCAGGAACACCTTGTCTATGCTCTGCAGCTTTTTGAGCTCTTCGCGAGTTGTCCAGAAACCTGAAAAACAGAGGAAAGCAAAATGAGTACATTGGTGGAGAAAGTACTCAAACACTGTACTTAAGTAAAAGTACAAATAAACAGACATAAATGTACTCTAGTAAAAGTAGAAGTACCACATTAACATTTTTACTTAAGTAAAAGAAAATGAGTACTTGCTTTTAAAATACTTAAAGTATTAAAAATAAAAGTACTTGCTGAATGTATTACCTAATGCAATGGTCTACACATCTTTAAGTGTGCCTACCATATGTATATTTTCTGTAATACATTAATAGTGTTGTTCCATTTTAATGAACGATGCTGCAGATAATACATGTTTTTATTGTGTTTACTCTGTGACACAGTTCATACTTGGACTTGTGATTCTGTGCATCAGAATTTCAGGGATGGTATGCAGAGTTAAATGCCATTAATCGAAATAAGAGAGGAATGATTTTACCTTTGAAAGTTTTTACTCAACACAAAGCAAAACCAATGTGTCATTTTAACTGCAGTAAACACATTTAAGTAAAAGTTGTCTGCCTGAAAAAAAGAGCATTAGACACAACTAACAAAGGAACAGGCTCTGATCATTTCAACTGATATTTCAACTCCAGTTTGTCATCAACTAGTTAAAATACTGTCTATTCAACCTTGTAATGGGTCAATATTGAACAATATTTTAACTTCCTGACACCATTTTTTAAACTTGGACCCGAGTGTTGAGCCATTTGGAGACATCTCTTGTCTCCTGTCCTAACAACATTTTAATATTGCAGCAAAAATGTCTTGTTCAAGTCCAGAAGAAGTTGGTTTTCAAATATTTTTTGAGTCCAGTCTGGCTCTTTTGGGAGAGAGAATCTGTCCTGTTGTACTGAGCAGTCTTTCAATAAGGCCATGGGTGGCGCATATCTTCTGGCTGACTCTCTTGCGGTGGAATACATTTTGTGTGTGTTAGTGGTGCTGCGGGTGCACCTAGCTCAGTGACATATATATACTAGAATATATGTCATTGGCCCAGTTCTTCTTGAAGGCGGGCTTAACGTTACCTGCCCACTTTGCAGTGATTCACTGGACCAACTCCCCTATTGCCATTGGTTACTTTCAAAGTAACAAACAAATCAAAAAGCCGCAACATGAATGTAACTTGTAATGCAACGCGTTATAAAAATGTAGTGTAGTAGAAAGTACAGATACTTGATGTAAAATGTAGTGGAGTAAAAGTATAAAGTACCCATATTTAACTCTACTTAAGTTAAGTACAGATAAATGAAAAATGTATTTAAGTACAGTAACCAAGTATTTGTACTTAGTTACATCCCACCAATGGTCGTGTAATACGGGGAAGTCCTTCAATGGTAGTTTGCCACCATTTTAAATGCTGCTAAATAATTAAAAGCCTAGCATTTTTGGAGGAATGCATACCTGCTGCCTTTCATGCCAGAGTTTGCAACTAAGATAATCATATAATGAGAAATAACAGAATTAGAGCCTTGTAGTTAAAGCTTGAAAATCGGGATCAATAAAGCTCTATCTTATCTTATCTTAAACTTTGCAGTGTCACATGATGGGGCAAAAACTTCAGTGGTCTGTTAACACCTAAAAATTTGCATTTTGAATGACTTTCAGCCTTCAGCAAATTACATGTAGCTCAATTTCTTTAAAATCAAAGTTTCTGTGAAAGCTATGATAAGTTAGCTCTGATGGTGAATTACTGGTAGGTTGACGCCAAAAGGTAATAGGTTGTAGAGGGCTGTCTGAGTTTCAATTAGATCTGTCCAGAGGGTAAAGATGCTCTACACTGCAGCTCATATCGACCTATATCGTTCTTAAATACTGATGCAAAAATCCTTGCAAAGGATTGATGACTTGAACGAGTAGTCCCCATAATTTTCCCACTTGATCAGACTGGGTTTGTAAAAAATCGTCAGGATTTCTTCAACATTAGGCAGCTGCTTGGTGTGTTGTACACTCCCAGTCCGCCTGGTCACAACTGTGATGAAGACATACTCTCGCTGGATGCTGAAAAAGTGTTTGACCGGGTGGAGTTGGGTCATTTCCTTAAGACTTTAAAACCATTTAAATTTGGTCCTCCCCAATGGTGGCAGTCCGCAGTAACTAACGTATCCAGCTACTTTGAATTGCAACGCGGTACGTGACAGGGGTGCCCACTCTCACTGCGTTAGCTCATTTGCGTTAGCGATAGAACCACTAGCTGTAGCTTTACAGCAAAACGTCATAATTAAAAAAGGTATAAACTGATTAGGTACGGAGCACAAAGTTTCTTTATACCTCAGCAGAAGTAAGGAGTACCTTCAGGAGGATTAATCCGCACAAAGCAACTGGCCCAGACAACATACCCGGAAAAGTGTTGAAGGAATGTGCTGATCAGCTCTGTGAGGTGCTGGCAGACATCTTTAACACCTCACTTACCCTGGAGACAGTTCCCACCTGCCTGAAGACTGCCACCATCATCCCAGTCCCAAAAAGCTCTACAGTGACTGGTCTGAATGACTATCGGCCAGTGGCCCTCACCCCGATAGTCACTAAACGCTTCGTAGAACTGGTCATGACTCACATCAAAACAACCATCAACATGAACGAGGACCCTCATCAGTATGCATACCGTGAGAACCGATCAACAGAGGATGCCATCTCCTCTGTGGTCCACACTGCGCTCAACCACCTGGAGCAGAAAAACTCTTACGTCCGTATGCTCTTTGTGGACTTCACATCCGCCTTCAACACCATGATCCCCCAAACCCTGATGGACAAACTATCCACA